GAATGAAGTAGCCCTGTGACCAGAGAAAGTGTTTTGCAACACAAATATCAAATTTATCGGAACTCAAAATTGCTATTGAGATAGTTATATTAATTAGTTATATTAATTAATTAGTTTATATTAATTATATTAGTTATATTAATTAATTAGTTATATTAATTGGTTATTGCCTCTATTCTACTTTTAATTTTTACTAGACATATTTTTTTTGTAAGTTGCGTCTATTTTATTAATTATTAGATGAATAGGAACTTAGTGGATTATGCATTAGAGAACAAACCAGTCAAGTGGGATGGGCTTGCTGTTGTTTTCTAGATGGACTATTATTGTGGTTAGAGCAAAGGGAGATTTGTTGCTCGGCTTCTATTGGAAAAAGCGAGTTTCTAATAAAGAAAGAAATTAAATAGTGGCCACAAAAATTAATTATGACTGTTAGGTGCTAATTGATAAAACAAGACTTTCAGAAGCTATTTCAGCTTTAGAGATGAGGCGATGCCTCATTAATACAACAGCCTTTAGAAATAGTATGAGACATAATCACTTTAAAAATCTCATGCTGATTAAAAATTTGATTTACCGCACTGTACTGAGCTCACTTTAGAAATATAGTAGCTCATATCATATTAGAGCTATTGTCACTTTAAAAATAATCTGTCCTTTTCATTTGTTTACATCTTACTCCATATGGTTTTTTATAAACATGCTATTATTTTACACAGCTTATTCAGAGCATATGTAAAGCAGTATATTTCTGTTTGTACACCTCAAATTACTCCCATTAATTTCGTCACTGAAGATATCTGCTTCTGATGATAGAACCAATCAGAATTTGTCTCCACTGGGAAAAAAAATATGAAAACATAGTTTTGTCAGAATTATAGTTTTATTTTGGTGGACCATAAAAATCTTTAATTCAATTGTATCATCAAAGTGACTGGGAAAGCAACAAATCAGAAATCTAGATATTCCAAACAGCCATAAATATGTTAAAATAAAATATTTTACAGCATTTTTAATGAAATGCAATGTATGTGTTTTAATTTCTAGATGGCTATCCTAAAGAGGAAATGATTTACAGATGGAGAAAAAATTCAGTTGAGGCTGCTGACCAGAAATCTTGGAGACTCTATCAGTTTGACTTTATGGGTCTTAGAAACACTTCAGAAATTGTGAAGACCTCTGCAGGTAAGAATGGCATAAATGGCATTGCTTAGTTTCAAATACTAAGCATTTCAAAACATGTGCTCCAGATTTACTTTCATTCTAGTTTAGTTTGATTGCAATATGTACCCCTGTTCATATAAAAACAGTTGAAGTGCAGACTTGAAAACTATAGACTTGGTCTGGAATTTGGGAAACTTTTTTTTTTCTCTCCCTCTCTCTGCTCTCTTTGTAATTTAACAAAATGATGAATAAAATGGACATAGCTGTTTGTAATATACTGGAAGTTACTGCATGATTCTTGTTCCTCAGGTAATTGAACTAAGCAATCCCTTTTTGAGACTTATGTTTTATTCATAATTGAAAAGAAAGATTTTGAGCTGCAACAATTACTTTTGCCTTACCCAGAGCATACTGGTTGGGCTAATGAAGATGGACACTTTCATGAGCAGTTAATCATTCAGCCACAGGCTTAGGGTTTTTTTTTTTTGTTAATCATTCAGCTACAGGCTTAGGGTTTTTTTTTTTTAATATTTTAAAGGCACAATCTCTCAGCTTACAAATGCATTTTCAAGTGACTTTACCAGCTGATTGTAATTAGAATATAATGATATCTATTTTATTTCTTTAAGAGACTTATTCTTTGCTATAATAAGAGCAACATTGGGAATATGTGTATAAATAGGATAGATTATTTAAGCTGAAAAGTTACATTTTATGTGGTATAAAAAGTGAATCACTCAATGGATAAATTCTAATAAAAATCAAACAACAGCTAAATATTATATTTGAGTCTGAATTAAAAGTCCATAATTATTCTGTCTCTGAGGTAAACTCCATCATTATCATTTGATAAGTCTTCTCCTGGCCAGAGTGCTAGAAGCAATCTTCTGCTTTAACATTAACTGGTGGTGAATTCTTGATTTTTTTTATTATGTACAGATAAGTTATTCTTTCCTGAGGATAAAAACAAATAAAATAAATAAGATGAATTTTAAAATGAATTTACTAATCTCTGAAACTGCTGCTGTTGGATCGTGGCCCGTGCATTACATCTGTAATGTAATATCAGGACTGGAAGGCTACTTCGTTTAATTAAATGACACTAAAGCTTTAGTGAATCTTTGGGGTGCATAGCTGCTCAGAGGAAAATACTACAGAGCACATGGAAAAGTTCTGTTATGGATACAAGTCCTTGTAGCCTGTAAGTTTCTTGGGAAAGCAGTTTTCTAAGGAATGTTTATAAAAATTGTTCAGCTGTGTTAACCATATGTTGAACTAGGAGGTGGTGCATAAAAGTACAAAATACCAAATCGGTCAATATGTGTGTGTATGGTCAGCCATACTGAGATGCTGGTAGTGTCCTTGTAAAATAGATCTATTAACCTTTTTCTTTGCATAGGACAAAATCACCTCTACAGTGGACTCGTTCAAGTTGGCAAATAGTTAATATGGAATGGGCAGAGAAAATATTTCCTATGCTCTTTTTGCTGTGTGCCAAGTTCCAATTAAGATGAGTGAGCTTTTCATCCTATTGCCATTGCTGCTTCTATTCACCCAAGTATGTGACTGCAAAACCCAAATGCATCGTTAAACTATGTCTACTGGAGTCAGCAAGATATTTATATTCTCCTAGAGGCATCCTAGTATCACACAGTTGTTGGCAAAATTGAGTTTATTCAAATAATGAATAATAACATTATGAGGAGGCTGTGAAAACTACCTTGGAAGAAATGATATGAAATGTATAGGTCAGACACTCATTTGTGTTATTACGCAAAAAAATGAGCTTCACATATGACACCTTTATTCTGGCCAGTAGATGGCTGAGAAGGGAGTCTCTAGGAGTGAGCAAATATATTAAAGATGTCAAAAACAAAACCCTGAGTTTTGACATGAGTCTGAATTTGTATAGAAGAGACCCTCTGGCTGTATGTGCATTATATTTTAAGGTACTTTCAAGGCCAAGTATACTGAACAACCATTTATTTACTGTCAGGAGCAAGCCTAGGGACGGGGCAAAGGAAAACCAGCTAATACATTGAAAAATGTTAAATATGCTCCATGCTGTAGGGCAAGGATTCCAAAAATGGAGGGAATGAGCAAAGATAATTCTGCAGCATCCTGCTGTAAGCACATAGGCATGTGCCTACAGGCAAGATACAAGGGCAGCCATGCTGTGGCACATGGCAGAAGAAATGTAGTGCTATTGAAAAAGTTTGAGAGTTTCTGCCTCTGGGTCCACCCTAGATTGTTTCTTCACACATTGAGGACCAGGTTGGTAAAGGGAAACTGCCTCTCTTACCTGCATATATTGCATCTCTTTTGCCAAAGAGCTAAAGGCAGTCAAAAATGAGATGCTAGGTTCTGTCATGGCAGGTCTGAGGCATATGTGCTCAAAAAACACAGGGATAGGGAGAGTGCCCCTAAGACACTATGGATATGAGTATGGGCAGTCAGTGCAATCATGCTGCCTTCAGGCTGCTTCCTGAAGTGGCCACTGGCCAGGATCTAGCCCTGAGCTGCATGTGGAGCCTCTCCGAGCCACCTGGGAGTCCACCATTCTTGATCATTTTGCATACTTCAAATGGAAAGAAAGAACATCATCATTTAGAGTGCTACACAGGGAATAATTCAGAGTAATGAGATGAAGTAAAGCAAAGGAAAGCAGGCTGAATATCAACAGAAGCTTCCTGAGAAGAGAAAAGTACTGAACTATCATCTGCTCCTCTCAAGGGAAATTATGGAAACTACCATTATATGGGGCGTTTAAAAGTAGGCTAGACAATGTATGAGAAAATGTACTGGAGGGAACAGTCTTGTTCTAGCAGGAGATGGATTCAATAACCCAATGTCTTTTTTACTTCTAATATATATATTACTGCTGGTTTATGACATTACTACCTTTCCTACCTTTCACTGAAGTGTGTGTTCATCTGTAAAATGAGAGCTGCCAGTGTTACCTGCATCTTATTCAAATTTCCCTTTTTTAGCTCCTTTTCAGCAGAATTTCAGTTAAAATGAAGACAGTTCATACTGACAACGCAGTAACATGCTGCTGTTCTTTCTGCATGTGCACAAGCCATTCCTTGGTAGTCATTTTCACTATGAAAGGACCAGATTAGGTACACAGCTGAGTTCTGATAATTGATATTATTACAGTATTTCTTTCAGTCTTTTTTTTTTAGTGTCTAAATAACTTTTCTGCTAATACAAGTCAATTTCAGAGCTATGCAAGTAAGAAGGTAACTGTCACAAAGACTGTATTTTTGAATCTATGCAATATGAGAACATCTGCTTTATGCAAGTGGTGGCTTGTTCTCACAATAAGGCTAACCTTCTGCTAAAACAATCTAGAAGCCAAATAAAGGATTTTTTTATCTATTAGGAAAAGATAATCAACTTTTTCTTTGGAACACTTTTTTATATTTCATGCTAAGATACAAACATAACCAGATAAATATATTGTATATGGTAAGAATATGCGATACACAGCAGAGATCACTGTGCTGTTTCTGTGGACATGCACTTTTGGGGGGACTATAGCCTAGGAAATGTCTCACTCTTAGGTGATATCAAACTAATCCACAAGAAGAAATTACATATTGCCATCTAGCAAGGTGCTATTTTTCTTGCTATAATGTCAAGTCTGAAAAAGATAATTAAAATAGAGGGAATACAACTAAGCTGCCAGAGAGTGAGCTGTGAAGAATGGAGAAACTGCATATTCTGAAAATATTCTGCAAATCTGAAATTTTAAAATTATAGCTAAATCAAGAGAAGGAAGATGAGCAAGAGAAGAAAAAGAGAGAGAGAATATCATGCTTAAAAGTGCTCTGTATTTTTGCAGTGAACTTCAGGTTTCTGAATCCCAGTCTTTTCAAATAGAGTTGTCCGAAGAGAAGCAGAATCATGAAGGAATCCATGAGCAACACTCGTGGAGAAAGCTGTAGTGTTGCTTAGCACTTTTCTGCTAACATATGCCCCAGTAAAGCTTATTTATGCTTTTTAAAACCACTCTACTTATAACACTGCTAGCTAAACATAATGACCTTGTAGCTACTGAATTTAATTTTCATTTACTCAAAAACATCTTCATCTCACACAGGTTCTATTTATGTGCTTCTTCATCTGCCTTTATCCTTAGACTTTTGTGCAGTCCAAAGAAGCCTTTGAATACATCAGTTCAAGCTAATTCATTAGAAATACAAAACCCCATAAAAATACCCTATTTAAAATCTTTAATAAATGAGAATTAAAAATGAAAGGTATATAAATATACAAAGCAAGGACCATTTCATACATCCTGAGTAGCTCCATAAGTATCAATACATATTCCCAATAAATAGCCACAATTGCTAACATAAAAAGTACACTTTTTTGTACATTGGATTGATGATGATTAGTAGAGTATGCCTGCCATACAGCTTCCAAATTCTGCTTTATATTTTGAAATTGCTCTCTCAGCAAATACCTCAGCTGTCAGTCTGATACCACAGGGCAGCAAAGCAAGGTCAGTATCTGTTGTTACTGATTCAGATCAAAGCTCTTTGGGATAACATGTTGTCTAATGCTAGTAATAACACATTTTAAAATACATACTCTTTTGGAGGGGACTTGATAAATGGCAAGCAAAAAACACTTTAGAAACAAGGAAGCAAGTGTTGGTATGCCAAGAGCTACATCATAAATAGCTCTGAGCAGGAGAAAGGGAGGAATAGACACATTTTTTTGAGGAGGTCTGGTTTCGCTGCAGGAGCCCCCATGGAGAAGGGATAGCTCAGAGGGAGGCAGACATTCAAGTGATTCTCAGCTCTGTTACAAGACTAACACGCTCCCTGGGATTTATCAGGGGTACCGAAAAAACTGAGGAAAATGTTTTCAGCTATCAAGCTTCTGTGCAAGGATATCAAAGAACAGCTGTGTTTAGAAACATTCTCAAAATCTACACTTCTGCTCACTTTTTGCTGTTATCTGCTTCCCACTTCCTTAACTGTAGGTACATAGAGTATATGCAATCAGAG